AGAGACAGTCTTACAAGGTCATCAGGTTTGAGTTTAAAATCTTCAAGGAAGTTCAGAGGAAACAATATGGAAACACACAAGTGGAACAAGTACCATTATTCCAGCTCCAGCTCTCCTGAGGTACAATGCTGTATCTCCTCTTTTTTCTTCATATTCTTCAATCTTTCCTCTAATACCATATTTCCCATGCATGTTCCCATATCAATGCCTAGGAACAAGTGTGAAGCAGCATCTTCAGTCCTACAAAGACTAAATGGCAGAAAAAAAGGGGAGTGGGATCTTTCACTGTCTTCTGCCTGCTCATATTACTTTCTTCAAAAATCAAACCTTAATATATATATTTGTCCCTTTTGCATGTATCCTTTTATTTTAATCATTCTAAAACACTATGGAAGGAAGACTGAGCATATTAGAGAAGTGGAAGTGATGGATTAGTATATTTGATGAAATATAAAAATCAAATTTCTGATGGACTCATACAAGAACTTATTTCACTCAAATACTTAATACACCAGACAATGCTAAACTCTTTACCTTACTTTTATCACTTTTGTGCCAGGTATATGTTTCATGAAATCTTCTCTGTGTGGTAAAATTGATCAGGCCATTTTAACCAAAGAGTAAGGAGGCAAAAAAGGAGTTATTGTATGTAAGCAGAGGCACATCAGTTGTTGGGTGTACCGCAATTTTAGAGGCTGTCTGCCTGTTCAGTCCAATCACAGTAACCCTGGTCTTCCTCGGGTAGGTGCTGGGAAGAATGCATCCAGATGGGGAACTTCCAGCTAAGGTTATACCAAGGAATTCTCTCCCCAGTGAATTCAGGAGAGATGATGACTCGAGCTGAAAAGGTCAAAAAGTAGAAGCAAGGAATAAACAATTTTCCAGGTTCACAAGAGCAAGCTGGTTCCTCTCTCTTGCTCTGAGTCAAGCAACCTCAAACTGCAGTAGGAAACTTGGGGTCCATAAAATTGTGATACTCTTTCTACAGTGCTAAAACCAGTTTTCTAGTGCCTTGTGGCATTTACAAGATCAGTAAGGTATCCTTCTAATGCCTGCCAGAACAGGATGAAAATCTAGATCAATATTGCTGCAGCATGCACAGGCAGTATCAACTGCTTCTTTACTACAACTGCATCAGGCCCTCACATCCTCCCTAACAACCAACTGAGCAATTTCTGGTGATCTTTTATCTCCACAAGTTAGCAACATGCTTATAGGAAAAGGGGAATCTCCAAGCCTTTAGGTTGTTGGAGTCATTTCTGATCCAGAGCCTGGATGCTGCTGAGGTTCCCTCAGAAGACTTTTCACACAATCCTTCATGAATTATTCTGCACACCTCAGCACCAAACTTCCTTGGCAGTCAGCAAAGACAGTATAGTCAACTCCTGGAGCTGTCTTACCAAGAAGTAAGAAGACAGACTGAGGACCAATATCCAGCAGGTGACAGAGTGAGAAAATATTAACAGGGACCATCTATTCACTCACCCTTCCATGCCTTTCATTAGCTGACACTGTGCAGTTTTCCTGGCTGCAGGGATCAGAGCAAAGGAGAGCAAGGCAAAATACCTACTCCGCAAGTGGGCCTAGTATGGCTTGCATTGATTTACATTCTGTGGATATGTCTACTTGAGTATCTTAATTCAAATCAGAAACTTGCTTTTGAAGGAAATCTTCCATTTGCCTGAGCTCTCCACATCTTGGTTCTCTCTTGGACTGTTCAGAGTCCATGAACAGGGTGACATTTGGATTAAATTAACTTGAAAGCTAGAATCTCTTGGAGAATGCCTAATGTGCTCCAACCTTTCTGGGCATCCAGTTGGCAGGGTCAGGCAACAGCTAGTCCAGGGTACTCCTCAGAACACATATAACGGGGTGTCAGGTCCTTGGCATCAAATGTTGTGCTGTCCCAATCAATTTCTCTTGCACCACACCGCTTGCTGATTGACCCCTGGCAGCTACCACAGTACCTAGAAGCTACTCCTAAATACAGAATCAGTCTTCCCAAATGAGATACAGGTTGTAACAGATAACTCATTTAGGACAGTACATTGCATAGATTAATTCCTCTAGATTATAAAAACCATTCACTCCATCCTGTTAAATGTAATTTATGTGTCTGTAATTTAAAAAAAAAAAATAAAGTGGCTGGTAACAATATATTCCTTCATCATTCTAATGCATGAATTCAAGCAAACACTGTAAAATGACCAAAAACTCTTAAGACAATCCATTTCTGCCCTGTGAATCTCCAAGCACCCTCCAGCATTTACAAACAAACCAAATTCTTGTTTTGCCAAGACTTTTGAGGAATGCACATCAGTGTGGGGACTGAGAAGGGACATTCAAAGTCAAGGTTCAGCTCAGTCACACTAGGCGCTGTTTCCCTTCTAGTACGTCTGGACTTCAGACACCGAACCCTTGAATGCTGTAAAAACAAATACATCATTAGTGTTATTGACTGTTGCCTTTGCTAAAATTTCACACATAATAGTTCCACTTCACTGTTTCACTACAGTTTCTATTGCCAGAAAGCTCCAATGACATGCTTTATTAGGCAAATCCACCATTAGTTAATATAGAAATAGGACCTGTATAAACAGTAGAAATTTAGGATTGTGATTAATATAGCAAATGTAATTCTGCCATGTAATTTAAATAATATGTAAGTCATATAAATCTGTAAGTGCTTCTGAAGTCTGTAGGCTTCTTACCAGCATTAATTTTGGTAGAAGGTAAGAAATATTTCTCTGGTGTTTGGTTGCTTTTAAGCCTCCAGATCTGATATATTCTCAAAAATCTGTCCCAGTCTTCCATCTTGTGATATTCATTAGAGTTTAAAAAAAAAAAATTTATGCCTACATATAGATTACTTACACAGGTGAAGTACTTTACAAAAGAACATGAGCTATTTCAATGTTTATAGCTTTTTGATAACACAAACTATGGCAAAGTTATATTCAACTACCTTGACACTGACTTATGAAAATATATTAAAGATTAAAAATACAAACTTTGTTTAATTTTTCATTATATAATGCATAAAAATGTGCATTGAAAAATATTCTGATGAAGCAGACTTCCCATGTAAATCACTCAGGGAAAAACTGATTTTCCATTTCATAGAAGTATAAATCCAGGGGTATAAAACAAAAAGTCATACAAAAGTTGTTAAATCCCAAACACTGCTTAATAAAGATTACCGATACATTATCATGACAGAAGTTTGTGCCATCTCAGACTCATGGGATAAGTCATAAGGTTATTTCACAGATATGGTCCCACTATGGAACCATGACACAGTTATCCATTGTTAGTATTTTAAATTGTCAGTCTGGAGCTTAAACTAACTGAAGGTGACTAACCCAGGAGATGTCAGGGAGAGGCAGATCATAGAAACATAAAGTCATAGAATGGGTTGGGTTGGAAGGGACCTTTGAAGATCAGAGAAGATAGAATCTTCTGCTACTGCTGGCGAGCAGTGATAAGCCAATATTGCTTGAGTTATTTACAGATTTGGGGATAAAAAACTGAAGTTTAGTGACTGTGCTCAGATGTCATGGATTTAGGTTTTAAGATATCAGCTGGATTTAGCTTCTTCAGAATTCGAAGATACAACTGAACTTTTGCACGAGCACAAACTGACTTCTTTTAAATTCTAGTTTTAATGAAGTAACAGGAAAAAAGGGAACAATTAAAATAGTCTCAGTAAATTAAACCTATCAGACAGCTCCATCAGGATTGTGTGCAAAACCATTTCATTCCTGTAACAGTCAGGGTCTGGATTCAGTACCTGGTGCATACCTAGTAAAGGACTGCTGGAGCACAGCATTCCACAATCACCTGGATTGGCAACTCTGGAGCCAACACAGCATCCGCTGGGATCATGTGAACATATGTGTGCGATCACTCTCTTGTGCGTGCACACACACACAGTGGATAAGAACATGCAGACCTGGGAACAGGGACACGCATCTGCATTCTGCACTATGGATGAAACCCACAATATTTCACGTGTCCAGGGAAGGTACTGAATAGGAAAGGTAACACAGATGTAAAGTTAACAGGGACCACCAGCTGACTCATTTTCTTTAGCTTTCATATTCATCTGCTAAATATTGGCTGATAGTATAAACTTAGGACTGGTGTCAGTAGGAAGTGTGAGCAAATATTCAGGATCAAAACCTAGTGGGTATCAATTCTGATCCTGCAGTGTTCCCTGTGTCTCCAGATGAAGCAGTTCTGCGTAACAGTCAAAAGTCACTAGCTTGTAGCTAAGCTTGGGCTTTTTCTTTCCTTCTCATAGATTTTAGTTAGTACTTCTATCCCTGCTACTTACCATGGAAATGATACCAGAATTCTGAAGAAACAAAGCCTTATCTCTTTGGAAAATAGGAATCGTCAATCCTGCACAGCTGACCTGACAAAGTGATTACTCAGCTAATGCAATACCTTCCTGCCATCTTGTGGCGCTGCAGGTTTTGCAACTCTGTTATATAGTGTACTTTTTATTTCAAATTAAGTTAATGGTTTTTAAGTTTCAGATGTCTTCTAGTTAAACAATACGCTGAGTGAAATCTTGGTCCAACTAGTAGCAGTGTCAAAACTCCCTTTAATAAAACAAACTTCCAGATTGCACTAATTGTATTAATTTCAAGGTCTTATTATGTCAAAAATGAAAATAAATTCAAACTAAATAATGTAAAAATGGGTTTCAGTTTTAAAGACTAAATTACTGTTATACTGAAATAATCTGTAGTTATGTCTGAACTAATACCTTGCATTAGTATCATGAATTAATCTATATTTTTCAATTTGGATGCTTTGGTGGTTTTTGAAATAGCTACCTGCTCTTTCAAGTCTGCCTGAAGAAAAAAGAAAATGTGTCTTTTATATGACTTCAGGCAAGAGCCTGCAAGGGCTTGTTCAAAGTTTACTTACTTTTCAAAAGTAAGGGACATATGAGATTGTGCTACTGTCCGATTTCCTGCTCCTGCTTTCAGGCTGGAATCACCAACTCGATCTTTGAGCATGGATGCACCACGAGGAATTAATATCAAAGCACAAGCTGGGAATATTGAAGCTCTTTCCCAGATGGATATCAAACTACACAGCAGTGATGGTGTGGTGAGTACAAGCCCTTCTATTTCTGTAGCTATGGTTGATCTTCCTGACTGAATATGACTAATAACTTCAAGCCTTTTTTTCAAGTCTGCTTAATTTAATTCCTCGGGTTTTAGGAGAGAGGATATTAAAATTAATAGTGCCAATAATAAGACTTTATGTAAATAATACTACCAATTGACATAATGTTGTATTAGCTTAGAGAAAAGCTCTCTGATAAAACTTGGATAGCACTCAGCTCCCCATGAGCATAGTGATCCCCAGGCACCCCAGTGGGGAATCCTGGCCCAGAAATAGACACTCGGCCCCAGAGTGGCTAAATTAAGGAGTGAAGCTCTTCAGACATCATTAAAAACTGCCCTGTAAGCAACAGCACGCAACATGCAGCAACCTATTTATCCCCTCTACGAGGCTGCACCAGTTCTTCCACAAAAGAGCTACAGATGAACCCATGTCCGTCCTTAACCAGCCGGCTCAGTGGTGAGGCTTCAGCATTCAGGCCAGGACAGACCTGGGTCCAGCAGCAGTGCTCATGTCCTGTTATTCAGTGTATGGGCAGGGACCCCCTGTCTTATCTTAGAATCACTGAATGAATTGTGTTGGAAGAGACCTTCAAGACCTTCTAGTTCCAACCCCACTGCCATGGGCAGGGATACCTTCTGCTAGATAAGATTGCTCAGAGCCCCGTCCAGTCTTGCCTTACTCACGTCCAGTGATCTACAACTTCTCTGTGAAACCAGTTCCAGTGCCTCTCTTCTGGAAGAAATTCTTTTTTATATCTAATCTAAATCTACCTTTTCCATTTTTAAACTGGTATGCCTAATAAAAAAGAGTCCCTTCCCAGCTTTAGTGTAGGCCCCCTTTAATTACTGGAATGAGCCTTCTCTTCCCCATGCTGAACAACCCCAAATCCCTCAGCCTTTCCTCATAGGGCATGTGCTCCATCCATGTGAACAATTTTGTGGTCTCCTCTGGACTCGCTTCACCAAGTCCATCCCTTTCTCATGCTGGGGATCCCAGAACCAGACACAATACATCAGTTGGAGTCTCACAAGGGCAGAATAAAGGGCAGAATTCCCTCCCTCGACTTGCTGGCCACAATGCTTTTGATGCAGCCCAGAATGTGATTGACTTTCTGGGCTGCAAGTGCACATTACTAGCTCATACTCAATTTCTCATCCATCAATACCCCCACGTCTTTCTCCTCAGGGCTACTCTTAATCCATTCATCATTCAGCTTGTATCCATGTTTGGGATTGCCCCAGCCCAGGTGGAGGACCTTGAACTTCATGAGGTCTCTGCTAATGAAGACAATGGGCACTAGCTTACCCCCACAATGTTCCAGTGTCTGTGAAGAGCCTAGCTCTCAGAGCAGCTTGTGTATGACAAGCTGGGGTAGAAGGCCATTCTTAGACCTCTGCCTAGACAAATTCAGCTTGTTTTATGGCATGTTATTGCTTTATTATCTCTAACAAGCCCATTTGTCCTGCCTTTTCCCATGCAGCTTTTGCTCGATGCTGAAACTGTGCGACTGCCCAAACTGCCTGAGGGTGCAAGGGGTGGATCCGGTATTTCTCAGGGGCTCTATGAAATCTGCGTGTGTCCAGATGGAAAGCTCTACTTGTCAGTGGCTGGCGTGGGCTCCACCTGCCAAGAATACAGCCGTGTCTGCCAGTGAGGCACCAGAAAAGGCCACACACCCTCCTTGCGCAGTTTTATATTACTGCTAAAAAGCATTGCTGAAAGAGTATTTTTCAGAATTTAAAAAAAAAAAAGTACTTCAATTTAGGAAGCAAATTTGTATTGACAGTTCTGGACTACAGGGTGTAAGGGGAAGAAGAGCACAAATGACATTTCAGCTTCAGAAGAATGACTTGAATCAAATTACATGTTCTGTCAGTAACACTTTGAAAACAGCCTTATGGAGAACATAAAAAAATAAAAATGTTTCCGTGCTGAACTATTATTCAGTTCAGATGATTGTCATTGTTCATATTTTTGAGATCAGTGGGTTTTTTCTCTCACTAGATGTAAGCACTTGCTGTATTAGTGGGTAAATTTAGATTGAGGGAACTACTTGAACTATTTGCTAAGACAAAGCATTATTTGGAGAATGCAGAAAGTGCCAGCAAATGGTCTATGCAATTTTGTTCTTGCAATAACACGATATAAAAATGTGATATTTGTATAAGTTCTCTGTAAAAGGTGTTAATTTGCTAAAGCTTTCTATTTTAATTTGGCAGCATATATGCTGATTTGCTTATTACTGAGATTCATATAAAAATAACTAATAGTAAAAGCTCCAGAAGTCATTAATACCTTTGTGCATCTCAATTCTGTCCACTATATGACAGAGAAATATATTATTAAATTTTATAATAGCAATAGTTTGTTCTACTGGTTGTACTGTCATATTCATTTAAATCCTTTTCTATTTTTGGACATGCTAATTCAACAAGGCAATTTGTTCTGCCAGCTGGACTACTAAAAAGAAAAAAAGTGTGGCTTCAGATTGTCTGACACAAGGAACTGTTTGAGCAGTGGGGAAAAAAGTTCTTTTTTGCAGCCCACAGGTTTCAATCAACAGAAATATTTTATTTCCATCTGCAGCTGTTGACTGATATGTCTGATCCTGACAGAGTGGGACTCCATCACAAATGGAGAGAATACAACTGCTCTTTATTATTTTTTACATTAGGATTTGCATTACAAAATAAGTGCTCACCAGAGTTGACATGCTGTTTATTAACCTTGTAAAGAAACACAGCTGCAGATCCATTCCCCTGTACACTGTTGCACTGAACATAAATAAATTGTTTGCACACCTCTGGGTAGCAAGATTTGTATTTAATAGTCTGTTGTTTAAACCTCATGAGTTTTTAATTCCTTTGATGCTGTTTTGTGTACACTTGATGGTATTATGATCCAGGAAGGAGCTGCTATCACACAGTGCCTTAGTGCCTATTTACAGAAGGATTTTAACCCATAGTTGTTAGTAAAGCACAGGTTATCCATCCTTTGGAAAAAATAATAATCATCCTTAAAACAGGACAATCTGAACAAAAGGGTTACTTTTTTTAAACTTGCTACTTCAGCTCTGGTGAACAAGGGAAGAAAACCAACACTCAGTTAAGATGTCTGGTACACACAAAAGCCTGAGTTGAGAAACAGTCCCCTGTTAACAATATCCACTATTATTGTGGTAAAGCCCTGGACAGTCTCTGCCTCAAGGGCTGCCTTTGCAATTTATCTAACTAGTCTAATGTACAAAGCTGAAACTGCCCTTCAGCACCAGGGTGGAGCCCTCACAATTAATACAGCCTAGAAGACCTTCAATAGGGTAAGTAGGAAATGCTTGAACTGAGTTTAAGCAATTGAAGCAAGGTCTCACATGTTATTTGGAGACTGCTCCAATTGCTAATACATTCCCTGAATGAGAAGTAGGAAGCTACACTTCTTCCACATCTGAAATTTCCTTTTCCTGGGCTTAAACTCACTCACATACTCCTGCCTTCAGGAGCAGGTCTGAGGCTGTTGGCCATAAAGAGAGAAATATATATCTCCACAACAGTATCTCTTGATTATGTCTGTCCCTCCAACTAAGCCCTCTTCTGAGGCACACTTTAACAGAAACGTGTCTTCAGTATTCCGTTATTCAGTTTAGGTGGTTCCAGCTCTGTGCATAAGCTTTTACAAAACAAATTATGAGCAGACTTAGCTTATTCATTGGATAGAAAGTATGAGTATTAAGATAAAGGTCAGCAAACACCTTTGTATGTGCCGTATTCCTAAAAACTGCTGCTACAAGAAGTAGCTTGGAGGGCTGTAATTTCAGGAGTCTCTTATAGATGTAGTATTAATAGCAAAACTGGGAATTGCTTAGAGATTTCAGTCACTGTCTAGTTTTGAAGGCATTTGAATTGTCACCCTTCCCAAATTTCTGACACTGCGGAACATATGCCCACTTCCATGTGGTATCAAACTAATCATTGACCTAATCACTGTAAATTAGGTACAGATTGTCTACTCTGCCAGCAATGGAAGCACAGCACTTCTAAGTTATGCTTAAGTTATATTTTAAGCTTTTGTTTTGGAGGCACATTTTCAAATGTCATTTGCCAGTTAACACAGAACAAGGGATTGAACTCAGGCTTTCCACGTATCACAAGAATAACCTAATCTCTAACTTCTGGGTGTTTGCCACTTCTGTTGCAACTTCTTACACTGCTGTTGTGCTGTTTCAGTTAACATTTTTACAGAACTGAGGTATACAGCTAGGACAGTAGTGTTACCCTGACTGGTAAACACTGCTAATGGCACCTCATTTAGACATTGCAATAACTACCGCCTTTCTTGTACAGATAAACCTTCTGGACTTGCCTTAGTTCTCAGGTGGATTTTGAGTAGTACTGAAAAATAAACAGGTCTGCTGTACCCTCAGTGCTGCCGCCACCCAAATAACCAACTTGCCCCTTTTCATTGCTAAAATTTCACTCTTCTTGTCATTGTGCTACAACGTTGACATCAGAAGTATTGTTACAGTATAGAAGTTGTGCACATCTTTTAAAGCACAGATGGAAACATCCTATCACTGAAGAACATTTTTTGGATCTTTTTTCTTTCAGATGTGGTTAGTGGAGAAACAAAATTTATGCTAAAATTACCACACTGTAATCAGGTAATGCTACAATCTCAATGGTTGTTAATCTCAATATAGTTCATATATCACTAAATTATCATTTCTGATATCTCCACATGTATGTCTTTCCCTTTCTCTTTAATACTTAAAAATTACTGTTTCTATTTGAATCAAACTTCAGTAAATAGTTACAGATTAACAGAAAATTATGGCACAGAGCAGTGTGAGTATGCAGATCTCTAATTTATTTGTAAAAGTATTATCCAAATGAAGAAGAGAAAAAAATCACTACTAGCATAGTGAATTGTATTTTTTGCATATTTACTCCCTCAAAAAGAGATTCTTGTAACTGGTTGCAATTGTTACACAGTGAAAAAATTATAGTAAAACTTCATTGGTGGTTGCCCAAACTCGATCCTTTTTGTTTCCATTTTACAGTCTTTTAGTGTTTACACTTGTCTATCTTTATATAGCTTTATGCAGAAGGAAATTGCAAGAATTGAAAACTGAATTCTTGAATAAACTTTATATATTTTGAAAAGTCTGCTTCTCCTTTTGTGTTCAAATGAAACACAGCTTAAAAAATGTTTTCATTTTTAAACAAAATTATCTTCCCAAGACTCTAAGAATGTGAAATGTACAGTATTTAAAAATATGAACAAAAATCTTGGTCCAAACTAAAAATGTACTTTGCAGAATTTAGAAAATGCTTTACAAGCATTTTTCATGGTTTCACTGGACATCTAGAATTCTTTGTCTTAATCAGTAGTAGGTAAAAGTAAACAAAAAATTACTCAAGTGGTACTGAACTAATACAGAAAACAAAGATAAACAGCTTTGATTAAAAACTCATTGACAAATCCCTTCATGTGACAAAAATTTATGTCTTCTTCAAATGGAAACATTTACTTTGGCTGTCAAGTTTAATTATTTTTGAACTATTACTTCTGCCTTTGTTCCATAAGGCCAATCCAACCTTTCTCAAACTGTTCAGATTCAGAAACAGAAAATCTCAAAGGTAGTACTATGCTCCTCTACTTTAATTGGAGCAATTGCAATAGATTTAATACAACCTTATTTAAAACAACCCATGTACCAAGTGAATGCAATTCTTATGGTCAAGTTTTTAAATCCTATTTTCCAAATCACCACAGTAACTTTATTGATGAGGATACAAGTAGAAATCATGCAAAACCGCATTTTTTACACAATAAACCATTTATTTTTCTTTTGGTAGTCAGATACACAAAAATCTATTTCCTTAACAAGAAAAAAAAAAGATATTTTTCTTGTCTATAATTGCTGAGGCAAGTGTTCAGTGTTTTTAGAATAACTGTGTATGCCATTGTTTGAGAGAAAACTTAAAGCTTCCACAGGAAGCTAGTAACAAGCCTGTCAAAGCTTCTTACAACTGCAGTTCCTTAGATTTAAGCTACTAAATGTATAGTTAAATCCGTTGCCTGTACTACTGATTTTTTTGCTGAACTTCTTATCTATAATCCTGGGAGACAAGACTGCTGAAGCTCCTTTTCCTAGATACAGTGCTGGTACCTGTGGAAGACAGGGCATATTCCTGAACAAAGAGACATTTTCTCTAATGTGAACTTGTGTAATGTGCAGAATTACTTGTCAAATACATTTTTGTGAAACCTACATGCTAATATTTACTTCTACAAGCCCTTACTAAGGAATCATCACATCCTAACTGTTCTAAAGCTTCCACACCCAACTTAGGCACGTTGCCAAGTCTCCCAGCTAAGCTAAAAGGAAGCAACAAGTAAGCATTTTATTTATGCATTTTTACTTTTAATCAAGAATTAAATGGCACTTATGAAATCAGTTTCTATCACAATATGGTTTCCTGGTCTCACAAGACCTCTTTATTTAGAGCAGTTGTTACAGTGAATTAAGCAAATAAGAAAAGAAACTAAGCGACTTTCAACTGACACTACTTTTGCCTTTCTGTCTGCATCTGTATGTAAGTTTTAGTTTCTATCCAGCTTCAATAATAGAATAAACCAATTTTTCTGTGTCATTCAGGTTTTCTTCCTCATCTTGGTTCAATATTTAAAATTGCTTCAGGCCATTAGCTTCCTAAGAACTGGGACCATTTTCCTTCTTATAGTGTCAGCACTTAAAATATACCCAAAATAAACAAAAATGATAACAAAATAGTTTAGTAGTTCTTCACAGCAAGTTTAACAGTTCATAAAAATAATACTGGTAAGGCAACATAAGTTGCTTATAAAACACAGCTACATACTTAAAAGATTTTCTTACTCAAAAGCTCACCTAAAAACAGGGAAGTGTTCATGGTGCTCCTGTTACTCTTTTTCATGCTGCCATGCTACCTTATGTTTTAGCTCCATTTAAAATGAAAAACATGAGAACTGTTTCCTTTTCAAGTATTTTGCTTATCCTCGATGCTATTCATCTGACCTACTGCACAAAGCAAGAACCACAAAGGAGTCTATTTTAAAAAACATAAGGAAATAACTAAACTGATTTGTTTCATGGCACACCAGGATTTGTGTTTTACTTACATGCTGTTTATTGCAAAAAATCAGCAGAATGCACAATTTGAGAAAATTGCAAACATTTGTCATTGCAAGAAAAAAGCACACTTCCTTTTCAATAGTATTTTAATATTTGTACAATTATTTAGAATTAATTGAAAAGAGATTGTGTAGTTACCTATAGAAAAGAAAGTTTGAAATAATAGGTAAATTTAGCCTACTTTATAAAACCAAAACACATCGGACTGAAATATATGTTTGCATTTTTCTTTATTAAAATTATGGCACTTAATATTTATTAGCAGAAGTAACAATAGGGCTCCACAATCAGAAGCAGTATCATTTTCCAAACATCATATTTGTTCGAGAACGAGCCCTTATAATTTACTCAAAACTAAAGGAGTCTCCATCACAATTTTTTATTTTTGGATTAAAACACTATCACAGCTGTATCAGCCCTGCAAGCTTGTTGTTGTTTATTTTCCTTCGTATTCTTTAAGTTGAATTGCAGTTTCACTGTGCTGTCAAGTAGACAACTGTAATAGCATGTCATTGGAAAATGTGTAACATTTACATTTAACGTGGTTGATCCAGCAAAGAAAAATCCTTCCATTTAGCATTATCCTTCCATTATTTATTTATTTTTTTAAATTTTTTTTACAAAAACCTAATGTTGAACATATTGCATGACATTACCAGAAGTATTAAAAACTATAAAAGAAAGAGTGTGAACTAAAAATCAGATTTCTCTATGGCTGTAGTGAATAATAATAAAAAAAAAAAAGCATTACATTGCAGCACCTTTAAACATGTAACAAAAAACAGTGCTCTGTGTACACCAAAAAT